CCATTTGAGGATCTACAGCTGATGCACAAACAAAGCTACATTCTTGTTAATAGTTGAGGTACTTTAATGTGTTTTTAAGATTTAAGTCTTGAGTTTAGTGTCGCTTAGGAGTGTTCAAAAAAAGTATGCAAATAAGCCTTTGCAACTGGAGAAAGGTATTGTGTTTTTGTGCTGTTTTTACCTGCTTTATACATACGTAATGCTCTACCCACACACTTTCATAAAGCATGACACTGCTCAACTAGAGTGTGCAAAGTATAGTTTTAGCCCCTTTTGTACAGGTCTAAAGCTTGTGGTTGGCATTGCACGCACCCTAGGAGTTACATCACCGGAGCACTAAATGAAGAGTTAGAAAGGTCCAGATCCAGCAGTGCTACAAATATAGCTTGAGTCTCTGGGGTTTGAGTGCTGTACTTGTATACCTAATGCATGTTCCTTATTTTAAGACCCGGTAAATGTATAAGCCATAAACCAAGCGGTTTCTGTTTGACCCTAGAAGAACAGGTTGGTTTTTGTTTGTCAGTTTCAATGCAAAACATGGCATGGCAAAACTTCTGTTTTCCTTAGCTGCAGCTTGAAACTCAATTTGTAGGCCACACAGATATAAATCACTCTAGTCACAATGCTGTGCTGTAAGCCACCTTACAACCCTATAAACGTTCACACTCACCGGGTATGTTGGACCAAGATTACTGCAGGTTAGAAGAGTTTGTGGATAAGCCTCCTGGCTGCCAGATCTCAGCGGGTTGTATAATGTCAACCACTGCCAATTCTCTTCTGTCACATGCAAAAAACTTGACATTTCCCCATTGACACAGGTAGAGCTCAGGTTTTTATCTGCAATCTCAGGTCTTCCTTGGTGCAATCTTCTTTCTTTCTCCTGAGCAAGGATCCAGCACAGTGTCTGAGGGGAACCAAACTCTATACAATCATGATTAAATGTGGAGAAAACGAACAGAGCTTAAAACTACTTTATTTGAAATGTAAAATCGTATAAAAACATACATAATCACATCACAGCATGGCTGACGTGTTTCAGAGACTTCTTCGGTCTTTGCACTTCTGAAGAAGTCTCTGACAAAAGCTGCAGTCCTTTATAAGAGAGTGCTGGGAGTGAAGTCTCAGCCTATCGGATTATGAAAGAAGCTAAATATGAGCTTTCTATTTGGTGCCTTCAGCATGCATCAAACCCTTTCCATAGATCAGGGAAAGTGATGTCCACACATTTTTTACCTATGGCTTGGCTATTTATTGAGTATATCAAAACACAATTTGATTTTTGACCTTTTTCAAAGAATCGTTGCTGATCTCTTTCTGCAAATGTTAGTGGCCTGGTTGTCATGCTGATCCAGTGGCTTTAGGGCTAGGAGTCACTGACTCAGAACAAGTATCCAGATGTTTTGTTACAGATACGTGTTCCAGATCAGTGATTCAAAGCATTGTAGCCAGAAACATCCGGGCAACACGCATTTCTAAAAGGTCAGTAATGGTACAGGATTGCTTCAGGAAGCTCTTGGAGATGCTGGTTTCTTTCTAAAAGCTTTATTATTCTGACCAGTAGACTGCACCAATTGTCTGTACCCCTTGTGTGATTTACAATTTGGCCAGGTTTATTTTATGGAGTACAAAGCTTTGTAGCTCATCCTAGCCAAGAATACTTTATATTTATCAAGGTCATGTCAGAGAAGTGATTTCGAATTGGTTGCCATGGCTTGCCACACGTTGTACTCTGTCTTCTTGTATTAGGAGCAACCAATTCTAAGTTCTTTTAACTGGACCGAGCTTTTACATCACTGGTTTGTTTCACAAATAGCAGCTGCTGTTTCTTTTTAGACTAAGATTCTCTCTTGTCAGTATTTGTCCTTGTGGCCGTGTGGCCCCATTGTTCCCAGTACAGTACAGGCCTCTTGCACAGACACTATTTTGGTTACCGTGGAAATGAATAACAGGCCACCCTATTGCATCTTCTGTAAAATGTATTTAACTGCTGCTTAATTTGTAATCTTCTTCTAAAAGAGAGAAAAAGCCATTAAGACGTCAGTTCCCTGAATAAGCCTTGTGTCTGTGTGTGTTTATTTTAATTTATAGAATGCAAATTTTTGTGTGGTTTTTTTTTTTGAGAGCTTCAGAGAGAGAGAGTGGGGGGACACCCGCTGAATAGCTAATTCTACAAAGCGGCAATTCTTAGTAATTTCTCTGTGAATAGTCCAGGACGAACATTAATTGTCAACATACACCCCCTTCTGATCATTTTTTTAAAATCTCTTAAGTCATTTGGGAGCAGCAATTAATTGCATCAAATAGTACATTTATACTTTTAGCATAACAGGGACGATTAAGTTTCTGGTTCAGATGGAGATAAAATTCCAAGGAGAATAATAAGGTTGGTGCAAAGCAATCTCTTTTTCCCCGACATTTATTTTTTAAGATAAGTGTTTTACCCTAGACACGGTTCCTGTAGTCTTCTACATTCAAGCCACCATGCGTTCTGGTTACTGCAAGTACAGAAGATACCTGTTGATCTGCCAAACATGCATGCCTCTGTTTCTGGACTGAAATGGCAAGAGATGGTGACTGCCCTACCCAGTTGTCTTTTGCTAAACTGAAGATTCCCTCAACCTCATCTCCACCACTTTGGGGGGAATTTTTTGTAATTCAAGATGAGAACGAAGATGGCTAATTGGACTCTTTGAAATAACACAAGACACAGGAGAGCTATGAATTTCTGAGAGCACCAGTAGTTATTTTTTTTTCTCGTATCGAAAAAATAAAACAAAATTGGTGCCAGACACTGTCCTTCCTTCTGGAGGGTGGCTACTTTTGTTCCCCCATGGTCCTTGTGTGTGTTGTAAAGTAGCCACCGCTCCAAGCTCAATCCCGTGATGGACTACAATCTCAGTACAAATTAATAAAATATACTCGATTGTAGAGTATCACGGAAGCGAGCTTGGAGCTGTACAAGCCTCCCAAATGTCACGAGACTGCTGCAGTCCACCACCGTCTAGCAAGTGATGTCAGGAGTCCTAGAGGGCTTAGAGCCATCATTCAATTGACACTCTATATAGTCTTCCCTTTTGCTCTTTGCTGCTTCTCTGATAGATGCATTAAAGGTTGTGTAGGTAGGGGGGTGAAGAAGCTGGAGCAGCGCAGACAGTAGTTGGACACTCCCAGAATAGTGCTATGATGTGCATAAAGGCCACAGAGTCTGTGACAGTTGAGAAAGTGTGACATTTTCTGGACTGTGACTTCCTTAACAAGTTCAGAGGCACATTGCAAGCCAACAAAAGTGTTGTAAGCATTTAAAATACTTGATTTTTCTGTGCTTTTGCCTGAAATTTTGGTGACGAGTCTTTTTAACGGGTGGTTGTTTGGATGTCATTCAAGTGAATGACCGAGCAACATGCTGAGGTTTGTGCTTTGCAGTAACATGCAATAATTCGATATAGTAACATGCAATATACTGGCCAGTTACAGGATTTTGTAATGACTTTTATGTGTTACTGATGCTTTTGTTTATCTCCATTTTTTTAATCCCATTTTAACATGAAATCTTATGAATTTTAAGCAAGTTGGATTTTCTTGTATGGACATTCCTTAAACTACTAATAGTCTTTGTCAAGCTTCTAAGAAGTGTTTGTTGCCCTTGGTTGGCTATTTAAATAATTTTAATGTTCTGTGTGTATTGTGCTTTTGATAAATACTTTTCAGCTTAGCTAGGCCCTGGATTTACTTCTTTATACTATCATTTTTTCATTGTTTTGCTTTTATTTTCATTTAATGAGGCTTTCTTTTTATCTGAATTTCAAATGTCACTGCTTGAAAAATCAATGTTTTCATAATGTGTTTTTGTATTCATGTGTGGTGCTAACCAAAATATATACACAAATGCAATTGGCATTGCTATTTTTTCAAGACATAAATAACTTTGAGTAAACTGTAGCTAATGCATAAGCTGTTAATGAGTTAAAGTGCAGTTTTTTTCCCATTTTTAAATTTGCAGTCTTCTATTGTGTTTATATTGATGTTACTGTATGTAGTAAGCATGTTGGACAAAGTACTTGAAGGCCTGTACATTAAAGTGCTATTCCTTTCCTCCTAAGCATGTATTAAAATTAAATGAAGGCCACTGGCCTAATTTCACTTTTAAGAGTCCTTTAATAAGCATCAACACATGAAAGAATATAGCTTCACTTATTTTGGCTGGCACAGCACCCCATCATGCACCATCAGTATATTTTGGTGTGCTGAAAGGCAGATGCATTTCTTTACACTGTATATTTGCATTGCGGTGCCATTCAGAATCAATGCCAATGCACCTATACCATGCATTGTTACACACAAACATACAGTATTGTGAAGGGCAGCAAAATCACACACGCACACTGCTGAGTTTGCACTCACTGACATCACTCTGATGGCAGGATCAGGAGCAGCTGTAAGACAAATATGTGATGCTCACAAAGCCAACTTTCTCAAAAAGAACTCTCCTTTGCTTTTTAATAAATATATAGTCATATGCGTGCTTTATTCTCATTCTTACAATATCACCTGTTGTGATGACTTGGTGTGGGATACAATTTGTCACTCGGATTTAATATTTGAAAAAAGCAAATTTAGAAACACAGACAGAAGAAGGGGTTTAAAAACTATTTTATATAATTTGACATTTGTACATAACTGAATGATGAGGAAAGAGGTGAATCATGTTCAAAATCTCAGACTTCTCTCACTCCAGTTATAATACAAATATTTTTATGTTATCAAGTATTGCCATACAGTGTGATAAAAGCACTAGATATGAAGTTACAGTTAAGTTGTTCACAGTTTTTTTTTTTTTTGTTTTTTTTTTTTAGTGATTGTAACATTACATCTAACATTATTTGTATCCAAGGCAATAAAGCACATAATGTCTTTTTTTGGTTGTTTGCATCCATGGATAATACTATTCAGGAAGGTGCAGGGTCAGTAAATGATCTCACTCTATATCTTTTTTATTTCAGGCTCTGATATGGCTGTGTTCTGTCTCCTCTGTGGGAAGCGTTTTCAGACTCAGACCGCACTCCAGCAGCACATGGAAGTACATGCAGGAGTGAGAAGCTACATCTGCAGTGAGTGCAACAGGACTTTTCCCAGCCATACTGCTCTTAAACGCCATCTCCGCTCACACACAGGTAAGGAAAAATGTCTACAGTGCCACGGACAGCACTGTATGGTTTCCTTTTGATAGTGTATCAGCTCTAGGGCTCCTCCAGAGTATGTATAGTCCTGTATCCCTAAAAGAATTGTTTACATTTTGTAGATGGGTGTCAGTGGCATTAATTGCTAACAATGATTTGCATTTTAGCAGCATTTCACGACTATCTCCAGCAACAATCATTCTTCATTCACCTCTATAGGCTTAGCTGCAAGTTGCTGAAGGAGAGCAATTTGTCGCAGAGTACACTAACCCAATGCTGTTGCACCAATTCAGCTTAGAGCAGTGGCAATCGCTTTGGAGCGACAAATTGCCAGAGACTCTAGTGATTTAAATTGGCCACAAATCGCTGGTAATCACTTGCATTAGAAATTTGTAACAGCGATTAATCTCTGCTACAGAAATCTCTGCCATAGATAGATTTATTTTTTAAAGGGGAAATGTTTACCTATGCACAGCAGACTTTCTCTTTTTAATCCCACTGTAAACCATTACTTAATCCTATAGAGCCCTTCTTTGGTATTAAATGGCTGACAGCAGGCTACAACAATGTATACACTTATAATAAGTAATACAATATATCTTGTATCAAAAATTCAGCATGTGTATTAAGGTTTTAAAATCCAAATTGAACTACATTGTTTGCTGATATAAAAAAAATTCTATTTTGAAATATTGAATAATACTACAGGCAGCCTTTTTTATTGTGTAATGGCAGATAAAAATTATAACTTGAATCAGCCATGTAACAAGTACCTGTCATATGTCAAGTATTGTCAAAGTATGGTAATTTTAGATATAGACTTTTAGATGGCTGTAAAAGTCCTATTAGAACTGGATCAAACTGTATTTCAGGTTTCCAAGACTTACAATTCCATCCAAAATCATCTTAACCTTTTGGTGTACAAGGTCTTGGTATTCTTTTGAACGAAATCTTTAGATGACAAATAGCTATACTTGGTGAAGTAGGACATACAGTGGATAATAGCAAGTAATCTTGGCAAAAGCAATAACTGATTAAAAGGAAAATCAAGAGTAATCTTTTTTTTTTGAAAAATCACATTTTTTAAAATTGGTGGAACCTTTGTTGCTTATAGCAACTGATAAGATTACAAGGGTCATAATCCTAAAACAGCAGGGAGTCAGAAGATTGATGGAGTCAAATCTGCAAAAAAAACATGAGAAAAGAGAGATTTCATTGTGTTTTTGTATCTTTGGGGGTTATTTGGAGATTAGTAAATTGACTTATTCACCTGATCAGCTGCTATGAGTTTCATAGCATAGCATCACAACCAAGAACTGCACAGGAGTAAGGCTTCTATAATCGGGCTATATAATTGGGCCATCTCAGAGCCAGCATCTCAGTCTAGGAAGTAAATGCTGACCCTGGATGATGCCTAAACAAAGATGGCGCTATCCTCCTGGGGAGAAAGCAGATGAAGCCATAGTCATGGGAAGTACTATGATCTCAGTGACAGGTCATAAAGATCTGTAAGTGTTGCACTATAGCATGCATGCACTTTGGAATATTGTTCCACGAGGCCAGTGTAACTGAATCTAGGTGCTAGTCAGCAGTGAATACTTATTTAAACACTTGTTTGTAAGTTATTAAGCAATAAAATTAAAGCTGTTGCTCTTATATTAGGGAAATATCCCTTTAATACTTGCCTGGGAGAAGCAGTGGTAAATGAGAGAATTTGTGAGAGTAAAAAAGAAACATGTTTTGGCTATACATACATTAAAAGCCTCTTGGACAAGAAATGCTTTACAAGTCAAAAGCTTACAGAAGAGCCATTTTAGTGGTAATACAACCATCTATTTAAATACAGTCCATCAGTTCAGTAAGATATTGTCCTATTACTGCGACATTTGACAGAGAACCACAAAACAATGAGAAATGTCATCCATGGAAATGCCCATCAAAACCAAAATTATTGCGGCACACTTCATTCATTCACCCCTTCCCATATTACATGTGTTCATGCCTCAGTTATATGTTCTAGAGCAGGCCTTCTTAAACTTTTTCCACTCGTGACCCTTTTTGGCCAAGGAAATTTTTACACGACACCCAGCATCGGACTGTGTCTCTCTCCCCTCTTTCCAACCAGCGTCATATGGTGGCTCTCTCCTCCTCTCCCCCCCCTGTCCCACCCCTTATCTTTACCTCCAGCAGCTGTGCTCCGCTTCTGCTGGGTCAAAAAAGCTCCGCCCCTGAAAAAAAACCTGCCTGCGTGTACGTGCTCAGAAAGGTACCAAGTGCACAAGGGGGTCCCACGACCTTAACAATTACACTGCACATATTAAATGATAATTAAAAAATCTTGCTTGGAGCTCAGGGTTCCACCGCCACCTGAGCCCCTCACACAAGTGCTGTCTGTACCCCCCTGATGGTGGCCCTGGCCGGGGATTCAGATTGCGACACCCCCCCCCCATTCACTTGCGCGACCCACACTTTAAGAAGCCCTGTTCTAGAGGATACTCGGGCACCTCATTTCTTGTCCTGGTGTCGGCAGGACTGAAAGTGAAGAGAAATTTCCCCATTGGTGACACAGACAACAACAAAAATCCCACAGAGCCAGCCCACATTTAAGGGTCCTGCCGACAGACAGGATTGCTATTCTCTAATGATTACAGGTGTTACTTTACCCGCAGACATGTCATGCTAACAGGAAACAGAACAGCAACTCCTGTCAGAACAATTGAGAACATGTATAGCTAGATGTGTCAGTGACAGAAAAAGGTATATGTGAAAACACTTATGCAACTTTTGCAGAAGTCACCACTGGCCATAGCCTGACATGTTTCTCTGGTAAGGAGGGTAGGAAGTGTAATAGGTAGACTATTGATCCCCCTTTCTAGTCTTGTGCTGCAGAGTGGCGCGTGCTTTCATTAATAATGCAGGAGGTGTCTTCAGCATGCGTGCCCAGTCTGTGTGCTTAGCATCGGCAGCTGTGTTTGATAGCAAAGCCACTGTCAGCCTCCTGGCATTGATTTAGTGGCACTCTTCATATACTATCATATTAGCTGGTCAAAAAGGGTGATAGGGCAACAGGTGATGGTCTTTTTCTGCCATAGCACCAGTCCCACATGAACAAAATGATAAAATTGTGTTTAAAAAAAAAACAACTATACTGTGAGAAAAATATAGTGGATGATATTGCTGACCTCTGCTGCAGCAAACACTTGTTCCCTAGTTGTCATATTGATCCAGTACCTTCAGTAGTGCTGAGACGCTGACCTGGAACAAGTATGCAGATCAGGAGTTTTGACATTACTCTAAAATCATGATCTGTGTGCTTTTTCCATGTCAGTAACTCATAAAGTTTAAAAGCTTGAAGCAGCCAGCAAACGGGCAAATAGCATTTTTAGGAGGTCTGCAATGGAGCCATCCACATTTCTGTCTGCACAGATTTCCAGTTAATTTGTTCTGCTAAAAAAGTAAACTACTGCTAATATGTTCAATTAGGGTATATCTAGGGGGATGTTTTTTTAAACTCTGCGAGGGCCAAAGGACAGTGACTGTTCTTTCTGTCATTAGTTAAAATAGAAAGCCCCAGAGCTGTCATCCTTATCATTTCTTCAATATTTAGTAAGTAATTGACCCTTAACTGCCCAGGTTATAAGTTCTGATTTAATGCATAATTCATTACTGTACATTTATTGACAAAATGGTGATGGCAGGATCAGGATGACAACCCTGTGTATATAGCACCATCCCCATTTAGTGACTTTCCACAATTTACATATAGCAACATGCACTTGTATAATAAACAATGGCACTTTACATTGTGTACAGTTTGAGTCACTGCAGCAAACCTATAATAGTTTTTTTTTAATTAGGTTTGTTAATTTTTGTGGTAACATTTTGTTTGTGATTTCCAAAATAAATTGAGGTCTTTGTCCTTTGGTTTTGGAGCTTACTGCAACACAACAAGAGTCTTCTCTTCGAAAATGGCCATGTAGTCTAGTGTATGCCATATATAAGAATATATAGAGACAATGGTCAATGGCAACTATAAGTCTGGGCCTTCACATGTTACATCCACGTGAGAGTGGAGAGGAAACTTCTGACAGGCTCCAAGAAAGCAAGGAGATATTAATGGGAGGAGCCATTTTAGCAATTCATGACTTGTCTGGCTTTCATCCTATTTGTAATATCTTGAATTACTTTTGTTACCCAAGCTTTTCCCTTGACCGTGAGCTGCATTTTTTTTTTTGTTTATGATCCCAACGCTGGAAATATTGTATTTTTAGAACCATAGCTAAAACAAGCTGATAAATACACAAACTGGTTCATCTACGTCCTTAAACAGGACCTAGAATTTTACAGAAGCAGGCATAATGGCTTTGGGTCTGACATGTCCTTGGCTAAAGGACTGGGCATGTAAGTGGTAGAGGTATTGATTAGCTGGCTCTCTTTTGCATTTCTGGTCCTTCTGCAAGTTTCTGACTTTAGGTCCACTTTAAGTGTTATCTCAGCTTGTTGAATCAAGGCCAGTTTGTGTTAAAGTGAATGAAACGTCCTTCGCCTACTAATAATAATTTACTACTGTGTCCATGTGTAATACAAATTGAATGCACCTCCACAAATGCATTCACTCTCCTCGCCATGAACACAATTGTGACTTGCAGTTACTGCATGTAATTTTATTTAATTTGATAAAATACAACATTAACTACTTCAAGCAGATTACTTGAATCCGTCTATTGGGTGTCCCTCTGCTTGCAGCAGCTCATACACAGACTAAACACGTGTCTAACTCTTGCTTCCTCACAAGAGGCCGATTTATGAATTGCTTACGCTCAATTATGTATTGGGAGTCCATTAAGAATTAAACTTATTAAATAGATAAGGAGCTCAATTTAATATTTTGCAGCAGTGCGTAACCCTTTGGCATATTCATGGCTGGCAAGTGTTTTCCACACCCACTTTTTTTTTTTGTAATCAAGTGTTTATAGTTTTGCAGTTGGAAATAAGGAGTGTAATAAAAGAATACAAGTAGATAGAGCACATGTAACCAGGAGGACAATTTATGCAGAGGCACAGCCGCGGCCTGACACCAGGATAATGAAAAAACGTAGGTCATTGTGGATGACTTAAAGTCTCTGGGAGTCGGAGAAAATGTATGAAGCAACGAGAACATTACACGCTTGGCAGGCTGGCCGAGGAAAAAATACAGGCGCCCCTGTTCCCCCGCCGTAAACGCAAGGGCCTCCGATCCGCAGCCCGCAGAAAATTGCAATTACAGTGACAAGTGGAATCAGTAATATTTTAAATATTCATGAGCTGGGGCTGCGGTGATCAATCTGGTTTTATTGTCCTTGCTCTGCCTTCTGACATAAATAAGGAGCCACGGGTCTGTCACCCTCTTTATTATATTTTCTGTCACTAGACTTGGCTGACTGCTGGAAAGGATGTTTCCAGTACATATAGACTGATATTAATATGTGTGTTTGGTTGAGTTTTAGTTCCCTAAACAGCTATGTTAATCTGTAAGAGTTTGTTTCACTTGAAACCTTCTTTGAATGAATCTAACTTAAGCTCAGCTATGTGTAGATACATGTTCATTAAACAAAACTAATGTAAAATATGCTAGAAAATTTGTATCTATAGCTGATGACGATTAGGGTTTTGAATCCGAGGAACTAAAGTGTAATGTACAAAGGCTTGCCAGTCCTTAAATGTGATGCAGTTTCTCTAGTTTCTCTTTTCTTAAGGCTAAGAATCTTTGCAGAAATACCTGTTGATCTTGGCAAAAATGCAGAATCCTTGTCACTTCCCATGAACTCTATTCGTAGCAGAGGACAATCCTTTACTTTTTTTTTTCTTTCTGTGTAATGGAGATGACCAAAGGCAGACATGTCCAGCCTAGTGTTACAACCATGGCCTCTTCTATAGATACAGTGGTGAAGTGAACGTATCGATGCAGAGATAGGAAGTGTGTTATGCGCAGGATTACCAGGTGAAAAAGAAAACTAATGCAGCCACCATATCTGAGTAGTGAACTGCAATATATAATACTTTTTGGTATAGGTACGTTTTACACTTTCATCTGTACAGTGGGTGATGTCATGATTGTGAAAATATGATTGAATATTCCTTGTAATTTTTTTGGCAGAGATCACACAAAGCCCATGATATCATTGTACACCTGTGTGACATCATATCATCCTGATGAAGTGATGAATCCTGCACACATAAATTTAGAGAATTTGGCTGTTTAAAATAAATTCATGGTGTTCTATCTCACCTTGGACACAGATATGATATATAACATTAGAAGGTTTATCAGCCACAGGCACAATATTTCCGTATGTCAAAGTTTTTTTCCTTTGCAATCAATTTGGCGTTTCAGTTATAAAACCACAGAAATTTAATGAATGGACTTATATTTTCAGGTGACCATCCATATGAGTGTGAGTTCTGCGGAAGCTGTTTCCGGGATGAAAGTACTCTCAAGGGCCACAAGCGTATCCATACAGGGGAGAAGCCTTATGAGTGTAATGGCTGTGGGAAGAAGTTCAGTCTCAAGCACCAACTGGAAACGCATTACAGAGTTCATACAGGTAAATTTAATATAGGTGTTCTGTGTCTTAAGGACAGTATGGGTTTCTTTATGGCAGTTGTTGAGGGGAAACCATGTCAAGAATTAACTGGTGCTGTAATTAATCTAAGACATAAAGATTAAAATGATCTATACTTGCTTAAAGGGTCAGCCTACTCAAGACTGGGTTGATGCAGGCTAACTCTTCCAGTAAATGATATGTCTCAGACACCCTATTTGAAAGCTCTACCTGCTGAACAAAATGCTTTCTTACGCTGATAGACTTTTGCTTCCCCAAGTGTAGTAGAAGTCTCAATCCTCAGGGAGGAGGAGAACCTTTATAATATCTGCAGAAGATGGATATGTCTGTAAAACAGGTCTTGTAACAAAAGTCCTAAGAAGAAGTATAATCCTTTTTTTTTTTTTCTATAAAGTCTTAAACTATGAAGTTGGCCCTGCTGCCTCAGACATTACAATATGGATCACTTATATTTTTTCTTCTTTAGCCATCCACTTTTACTTGCCGTAAGTTCTGTTCTTGAACCCTGCAGGAAAAACACAACTGGCTATTTTAAACTACACCTACCACTGCTGGTTTTGGTTAAAAACGTCTTATGATTGAATAATCTGGTCTAAATAACTACTAGTTGTAGAAAAGCATTATAAGTTACCAAACCCTAGTTCATGCTGCATGACCAGGCTGGCAAAGAGTAAACTGCATGGTTCAAAAGGTTGCAGAAATTCACCACAATTCACGTTGTTTTTTTACCATCTTTCGTTTTTCCCAGGCGAGAAACCTTTTGAGTGCAAGTTGTGCCACCAGCGCTCTCGAGATTATTCCGCCATGATAAAACATCTCCGGACCCACAACGGAGCCTCACCTTATCAATGTACCATCTGCCTCGAATACTGTCCCAGCCTATCTGCCATGCAGAAGCACATGAAGAGTCACAAACCAGAGGACATCCCTGCTGACTGGAGAATTGAAAAGACCTACTTGTATTTGTGTTATGTGTAGAAAATAAATTCATATGTTTGTGGGGAAAGTAATATGGGGAAGGCTGAGCAATACAGACATGTTAATAACCCACTTAAAAAGCAAAGAAATCAAACACATCCACCATTGTTGGCTTTCTCGTGGAATCATTTGGGATTCTGATCATATTGCCTAATAGAACGCAAGCTCTTTTGGGTTTGTTTGGGAGCACCCTGCAAAGATTAAATGATCTTACAAATGGCATTAATCTATTCCAGTTTAATTTTAAAAAAATACTATCTTTGCTTAATTTTGAAAACTATGTAATTGTGCAGAGCAGTAAATTATGTATGAAATCTTTTCTCCTGGACTACAAAGTCTTTATGTCATGTGTTTTTGTACACACGGGCAAAATATGTCTGGCTATTAAAGCTGGTGAGGGGATATCCATCAATACTAAATCTGTAATCCTTTAGATACCAGTGGTGAGTGTACCACTTTGGTTCAAGTTGGTTTCAAATTAGTCATCCACAGATGTTTGAGACAATTCAAATGTCATACAAAGACTGGTTTAGAGATGTTTCTTTTCAAAAAGGTTGAACTCTCCTTCATTTGTTTATTGCTCCCTGGATCCTGCTGTGATCATGTAAATGACCTAGCCAAGTAAGCTGGATTGTTTAAAGAAAGTATTATGCTCTAGTGTGGAGCATAACCTGTAATACCATCAGGTATTCTCTTTATTTTGTAGCACTGAAGGGGTTTGGAACCTCAAATTTTAAGTTTGTCTTCAATCTTTTAGTCCACTGCTGGTCTATATTTACAGTTTAATAGTCTAGACTTCCTCACATAAAAGTACAGTGAAAGAGGGTCCTTGACTTTCTGTGGTGGCTATAAAGAATTTGAAGTGGAGCACTTTGGAAAATATTTACTTTCATTTGGAAGGAAAATTATTAGCAAAGACAGTGACACCATTTTTGGTGAACCTATCTGAGCAAAGCTGATCTAAGTGAAACCTGAGCATTTTGTTAGTGGGTCTGTACTGATCATGGAAAACTGGTCTGATAGGTCTTGAGGGTTATCCAAAGCAACAGATAAAGTTCAATTGCATCTGTGGTTACAAGAATTTGTTCTGACAGTCCATAGGACAGACTTTACCTACATAAGAGCCAAGTTAATGGATGCGTTTGATTCATTTGCTTGTTTCCCCTTTCTTTGTATCTGAAAAATGAATTCCCAGCATCCTCTTGTGAGTCAGTACATTTTCACAGAGGTCAATTTAATAGGGGGCTGCTTCTATGTACATAGTCTGTTTAATTTTATGTTTAGCACATTGTACTTGAATTTTTGTTTCTTCTTTTTTGATGACCTCATATTTACCAGTGCCTAATTTAAGGCATTTTGTTTCCATAAGACACATTGTAGGAAAGTAATGTGCCAAATACAGAATGGGCAGGATGAAACAATGTGTCTATTTTTTTTTTTTTTTTCTTTACCAAATATGGTATTCAATCTAGGGTTGACACGGCCCTTGTGTGTTCTTCTTGGGCTTTTTTTTTTTTTTATATTCATAAAAGCTACCTCTTAACCTGTATGCTGCATGAGGTGCCTACAACACATTTAACCATGCTTTTATAGGTCCCTTTGACAGCGAATGGGTTATTTTTTTGTTTTTCATGACCGTTCCATGTTAATCTTATGTTACGCTTAATGCTATCATTGTTTTCATCTCATTTTTTTTTTCTTGCAGTTTTTGTTTTTGTGTTCAAGCTGCATTTATATAAAAATAAATATAATTGTTTTAGGGGGATATTATGGTAGATAGCCTTATTGGGGAAAAGCAGAGGGGACATTTTAACCTTCTTTACTGCAAAGATGTGTTCCATTTTGACCTCTTTGTTGTACAAAGGGCTAAAAGATTTGAAATGCCAAAAACTATTTAGGGCTTGTTCAGTAAGACTGTGAGAAAAGCAAGGTGGAGGTGCAAGGTGCAGTGACTTTAAGCGACATGTCAGATTTGCAGTCAGTTCTGTTAAGAGGAGAATGCTGATTTGTTACTATGCGTTTATGCACTTGGCATATCCCCTTACTGAAAAAGCCTGTGTGAATGGTTTAAATGGCACCCCATGATAGAGATATTTTATTGTAGCTCTAAGGGGTAGCGGGTGGGTGAGTGAAGGATCTGTGGTTTAAACTTGAATTTGTGAATAGAAAATTAGGGGGTTTTTTTCTTTTAGTTTTAAATTCATAATGTGAAGGTGATTAAAGTATTACAATATCTTGGCAGATATACATTATATATATTTTTTGCAGTATGTACCAATGCAGTCTCGTACAGTAACAGATGAATGCCGGCCAAAATCTTCAAGGCAAAATGCTTGATGGATTTCCTCATTATACACCGGGAAATAAGGGATTAAAAAGTTGATCCAGAAAAGCAAATGGCAACCTTCTTCTATCTATCCCTTCCCTGAGGTTCTGCTCTGAACTTTCTTCTCCTCATACATGAGAAATAAAAACTAAAATATTGGAAGGGGGAAGGACAAATATTTGCAAAGTTGTGATATTTTTGTAATATTTGTTAGTCTTTTTGTGAGTTTTGGCCCTATATATATTTTTTTGTAATGTGAACAGGACTCTGTGTGTATGTGTACGCGTGTATGCACGCCTGGTCATTAAGTACCTTGCGTGTTCAGTTGTATTGAAAGTCATACAGTATTGTGCTTAATCAGAGACTCTGCTTCTGCTGGTGTGGGAATGTAAACACTGCTTACGCTTTTTGGTGTATTGTCTGCTCTTTTTTTTTTACTTGACTTCCTAAAATATGCTGTTTGGCCATTTGCACTCAAAAGCAAAATGTATTGATTTCATGTTGGAGTAAAATGGAGAGATAGCCTTACTGTAAAGTTATATTTGAGAGCAATATGTTCTGTACAACCCAAGAAGGAAAATCTGTTTAAAAAAACCCCCCAAAAAACAGAAATGTACTGAGAAAAATTAAGATGTTTAAAAATTAACCTATAGGATATAAGGAAAGTTAAAAAAAAAAAAGCAGCGAAAAGACCAATTTTGTTACAGTAACACAAATACCACATCACTCTTGTACTGGGTCATAGGACTGATATTTTGCATTGGTCACATGGGGCTATTATATGAAACAGACTTTTTTTCTTGACCAATCATTTTCAGTGGTGTTTAACATTGTATGGACTTTCTTATATCATGAAGGCTACATTTTAAAATGATTCTGACTTTATTTTTCAGTATAGGTCTTCTTTTATATTCAACAAAAAAATCAGATGTTAAATACTCCATCTTTCTAATGAATGTTGATATTGTAAAGCAAGACACTGAAATAATTTGGCACTCTACTTGCTGATTCTTACACATTCGATGGAGGTATTTTTGACAACCCCTGAGAAATGTTTAAATACTGCTTTCTGTCATGAAATAGTCATAAAAACACTACACCTACTGGGTCCTATTGGGGAAATATGCATCAAAATAGAGCTGTTCTCCATAGCAATATTGTTACATGTAAATGCAAATTGCTTAACTCCAGCCAAAACATTTTTGTAGTCTTGTGTCCCTATTGTAGAATGGTTCCTTAACTCTTTTTGTTGACCACCAGGCAACTGCTGCAAGACTAACTTCCCGTTTCTCCCTCTCGGGATTGTGCTTTCCACTGCTTTGGGTAAACTATTTAAACTGTACTAATTCCTCTAGGAGAGATGACCTGCTAAGTAAAGACCCAGTAGGATATCAAATGTCTGCCGCAAAGGTTATTAGATTGGTCATAAGTATTTAAAGACCGTTTCACAGCATCATCCTGCAATATCTAATTTTTCAGAAAGGTGGAGATAAGTTTTTTTTAAGCTATTTGAAAACCTTATGCCCCTGCTTCAATTAATACAATTATACTTAATCATTGCAACATTAATCATTATGATAATACCTTATTGGGCCATCACATCTCTCTCCACAGCAGGTTACAGTGTATCCTTGCTTTATGCACCATGTTACTAAACAGAGTGGATATAAAGCATTTATCAGTCCTGCAAGATCTTAAATTGCATTTATCTGTAATCTGTTTGAAATCCCAGATCTCTTCATTTAACCTCAAACCGTAATGTAGTGTTTTCTGTTCTTATCAATACCAGTCACATGTTGACAGAGAAAAGGCTTCTTTATTCTTTGTGCCTCAACATTTTTATTTTAATTAAAATAATGTAAAGAAAAAATAAAAAAGCAGCAAAGGTGTCCAGCTACAAAATATGTATGTATTAAAAAAAAATGTCTGCTGCAGTATATCATTATCGTTCTGATTGTAAAAAAAACAAATAACAAAAAAAGAGCTGCATACTTTGTAATTAGGCCAGGGGTGGCCAGTTGCTAATGTTTCAGTAGTATACAAGCTAATAGATGAACCAAAACCTGTCCGTTTTAAAAAATGTGAATTTCAGGCTTACCCAGTTTATGAAAATAGGCCTATATCTGCTTCCTAGTATATGCTGTTTTGATGGCTGTTTTTGGCTTGTTCAAGCGCTTTGACTTCCTATCTGTATTTACTTTAGCATTTAATATTTCTGTCCAGTTAAACCAATATTTACAAATTAGTTTCCAAAACATAATTTAAATTGGCCACCAAAAATAGGTAACATAATAATCAAAGAGGAGTAACAAATATGTAAAAAGTATGGCAATACTGATTCACTCACGTGAAAGGCTACATAGACTAAAGCTCAATTTGGCATAGTTCAGATCACCGTGCAGAAAGTGGCACTAAGGCAAATCAGAAACCAACTTTTAGGAATTAAAAAAAAAATGACTTTAACAGTATATCTAATTGGGTTATGCTGTAGTTTATATGCCATGTTATTAAAAGGTCAGTCAACTGACCACCTATATTCCAAATTTGGGTAGATATTTGAGACTTGTATCCCTTCCTGACTTCTTATCTCTCAAAAAGCCCAGGCCTGTATAGCTGCTGTGGAATAAAAAAAAGCTGATTTTTTTTTTTTTTTTTTTATTCTTTATGGTTAAGAATGCCACAAGGGGATTTGGAACACCCAAAAACTTCAAGTTGGATAGAAACAGAATTAGGAAGTACAGCAACAGAAAGTTCTTCAGAGAAAGGTTACATGTGACCGATATTTAACTGAACATTTTAAAACAAAACAATTAAAATCTTTCTTTGCCATACACTAGTGTTCTCACTTTGAAATAACTTTTAAAGCTGGAAGGAATAAGCATACACCGGGACATTAATGCGCACAACAGGACACTGTT